AAAAGCTAGAAATTATTTTTAAAAGAAGAAAAAAATAAACAAATGAAAATTCAGGAGCTGAAAAGTACAATAACGGAAATGAAATAATTTACTAGGAGGGCTCAGAATAAGAAATAATCAGTAAACTTGACGCTTGATCATTACAAATTACCCAATCTGAAAAATAGAGGGGAAAAACACTAGAAATGAACAGAGACTCAGAGACCTATGGGACAACATTAAGTATACCATGTACATGTAATGAGAACTTCAGATGAAGAGAGAGATAAAGGGGAAGAAAAAATATCTGAAGAAATAATGGCCAAAGAAGTTCAATGAACCCAAAGTGGGTTAAACCTAGAGATCTATATCCAGGCACATTACAATCAAAATGTTGAAAGTTGAAGACATTAATAGCAGCCAAGAGAAAAACAATTCATCACATACAGAAAAACAATATGATTAACAACTTGCTTTTCATCAGAAGCTATGACCTCTGAAGGCAGTAGAATAGTACAAAGTGCTAAAAGAAAAAAAAACTGTCAACCAGGAATTCTAGATCAGCAAACTATCTTCCAAAAATGAAGTAAAAATGCATTGCCAAATAAATATAGAATAATAACTGCCGGCCACTGTGATATTTGGTGGGAAGAAAAATGAAGAAAACTCAATCAACCCAAAAGAAGGCAGCAAAGGAGTAAAGAAGCATCGCCCAGGCCAGCCGGCCAGCATGGCTCAGTGGTTGAGTGTCAACCTATGAACCAGGAGGTCAAGGTTGGATTCCAAGTCAGGGCACATGCCTGGGGTTGCGGGCTCCATCCCCAGTAGAGGACGTGCAGGAGGCAGGCAATCAATGATTCTCTCTCCTCATTGATGTTTCTATCTTTCTCTCCCTCTCCCTTTCTCTCTGAAGTCAATAAAAATACATTAAAAATAAAAAGAAGCATCACCCAAACAGCAGGATACATAGAAGGCACAGGTAAGATGACAGAAATAAATCCAAGCATATCAGTAAATCACAATAAATATAAATGTACTACACTCTCAAGCAATTGTCAGAATGTAGATAAAATAAAATCTAGCTATGAGCTATTTACAAAAGATATACATAAAACATAGGAGACAAAATTCTTTTGAAATACGGGAAAAGAATGTTCCGGGAAAATACTAAACCAAAACATAGACTTAAGGGCAAAAAAAAATTATTATAGATAATAGAATGACACCTCTAGTGTGTTAAACCTGTTTCTTCTTCTGTAAAGCAAAGATTATAAGCTATACCTCCCAGGAGAAATATGAAATGTATACACAAAGTGCTAAGAAGAAGAAAATAAAAAAACAGAGAAGAGGAATAGGAAATTTGGGGGTAGGAGAGGACTAAAATTTAGATTTTACAACATTTGGGGAAATACTTGAAAGAACTGAGGGAGGGATCCAGGCAGAAAGAGCAGTAGATGCGAAGGTTCTCAGACTGGTGTCAGAGGAGCAACAAGGGGACCAGTATGGCTGGAGCAGGTGAGGGGAGGGAACAGTGCGAGAGAGGAACTCAGAGGCAGCAAGGGCCAGATTATGCAGGGTCTTATATGTCAAAGTAAAGTCCCTGAATTTTCCTCTAAGTAAGGTGAGGGTTTTGAGTGAGTATAACTCTATTTTTAAGTGATTGCTCTGACTATATTGAGAGAGAACAAGTGCAAGCAACACACTACTAGAAGGCAGTGCAACAGTCCAGACAAAAGAACATGGTGGCCTGGACCGGAGTGGTGACAGTGGAGGCAGTGGGGAGTGGTGGGATCCTGGGTGCACTTTGAGGGGGGTACCAAAAGGATTTGCTGCAAGATTGGATGTGGGATGGGAGGAAGAGAAGGAAGTCAAGACTGACTTAGGTTTTAGAGCAGAGCTCCTGGAAGGATAAAGTTGCCAGGACCTGAAATGGAGAAGACATTGGAGGGAGCAGGAAATTTGGGGGGAAAGGGTATCAACGGTTTAGTTGTAGACATCTTGACTTGAGATGTCTACTAAATATCCAAGTAAGATTTTAATATACCATTAGATATACCTGCCTGGCCTTTATGGGAGCATTTGAGCTGGAAATATACATTTGGGAGTTACCAGGCTCTCGATAATATTCAAAGCCATGAGCCTGGATGACAGGAGCTCACCTAAGAAGTAAGTGTAGAGAGGAATCCAAGAACTAAGCCCTGAAAAACTCCAATGTTCAGATCCTGGAGAGTTGTAGGCACAGACTGAGAATAAGCAGTCAGAGAGACGAACCTAAAAGGTGTGGTGCCCTCAAAGCCAAGTGAGTAAGGTATTTCGGGAAGGAGAGAGTCGTCAGCTGTGTTAAATGTTGCTGATGGGTCAAGTAAAACAAGAATTGTGCGTTAACTAGTGGCTTTAGCCACAGAGGCTGGTCTGATGTGAAAAGAGAGCTGTGCCAATCAGATTCCCTGATTCAGGAAATGTAACAAAGAGACGCTGAGAGACTGCAGCAGCCGACAATAGGAGCCAATGGGACAGCCTTTGGCATTGCCTTTGCATTGCTTTTTCCCCCAGCAAACAGTAGAAACAGCTAACCTTTATGGGCTGTTGGCTCTGTGCCAAGAACACTATTATGATGTCTATTTTTAAATAGGAAAAATGGGGCTCAAAAAAGTCAAGTAACTTGCCCCTGGTCACTCAGCTTGGTAAGTAGCAGAGCTGGAATTCAAACCCCTCTCATGCATTTAATTACTAAACTGCATTGCTTCCCTTTAGTCAAGGGAAATTCTACACTTAAATATAGAACTCGAAATTATAAAACAGCAATTTGGGGCCAGGTACCTTGGGTTTGCATACATTTTCTCACTGAATACTCACAAAACCTCTGCGAGAGAAATACCACTACTCTTGTCATTTTACAGATGAGAAAACGGAGGCCTTGAGAGAACATCTTGCTGGTGGTCCCATGGGGGCAGGTGGTGGGGAAAGCACTCAAACCCAGATAATCTGAGACCGCAGCTCTGCCTGTCCCATCTGTACAACCAATCCTGCCTTTTGCAGGGGGTGGGCTTGGAGCAGCCAGGCCAGGGCAGGGCTGGAGAACTGAGAGAACTGAGGGTGCTCTTACATGCTCATCACTTTGAGGACACTCGGTTTTTAAGGATGACTCTGAGATTCCCAATCTAAGTCAGTCCCAGGAGTCCCAAGGCCGGCTTCCCAGTGCCCCCAGAATCAGACCTGCACTCTCTCCCTGACCAGACCTTTGATTTTAAGGCCAGGACTGAATCCCCTTCCCACCCTTTCCTCCAGGCATGCTGGGCCTCCCCCTACCTGTCCGGTGGTGAGGGAACGGCTGTAGCCAGGGATGGAGCTCCGGGGATGGATCCGGGGTGGGACGCAGCAGCTGGGAAAGGTCAAAATTCCAGATTCAGAATGGGGGTCTGTGAGGAGGCAGGGGAGGGGAATGAGAGGATTGGGGGCCCTGAGCAGGTTCTACCCCTCAGAAACCCCCAGACAAGATCCCACAGAAGACTCCTGGGTAAAGGGCCTCTCCCAAGGTGGCACTCAGATAGGGGTTATCAGAAGGACCCCTTCTTTCTTTTCTTTGTATAATTATATGTTTTTTAATTTAAATTCTTAATTGTTTAAAGCATTGCATAAGTCTCCTTAGAACAGTGGTTCTCAACCTGTGGGTCGCAACCCCTTTGGGGGTCGAACGACCCTTTCACAGGGGTCGCCTAAGACCATCGGAAAACACATATATAATTACATATTGTTTTTGTGATTAATCACGATGCTTTAATTATGTTCAATTTGTAACAATGAAATTGGGGGTCACCACAACGTGAGGAACTGTATTAAAGGGTCGCGGCGTTAGGAAGGTTGAGAACCACTGACTTAGAAGAACCTCTTCTCTGCGGCGTTAGGAAGGTTGAGAACCACTGACGTAGAAGAACCTCTTCTTTCTATGGAGCAGACTGATACTCCCCAGCTGAACCTTACACAGGGAGCAGACTGGTACTCACTCTACACACCTCCTGCAGGGACCCAGTATCGGCTTCCCACTCCCCCTGCCCTCCACCCTCCCCTCCCCTCCCTTCCCCTCCCCTTCCAGTCCTTACTTGATCCGGGCCTGGTCCACACTGGAGGAGCGGCGGGAGGCAAAGCGCCGGGCCAGCGCTTTGGGAGATGTCTTGGGACTGCCATCCGAGTCTCCGCTCTCCTCATCCCCCATGGCTTTGATGTAGCTGCCGCTCCGCATCCTGCGACAGGGGATCTCTCCATCCTTGCCCCCCGTGGGGTAACCCCCCCAATCATCTTGCGGCACCTGCAGGAACAGGGGCCTCTGTCTCTCAGACACATCCCTACAGAATCTGAGGACAGGACCCTCCTCTCCACTGCCAGTGGGAGGCGCTCTACCCTGGCTTGGGCAGGCCACACTCAGGAGCATGCAGATTCAGAGGCAGACCTCCCTTCCAAGAGATGCCTCATTATCCTGCATGGACCTGGTGCTACTTAATTGACGGCAACCTAGAGCAGCGGTCACCAAATAGTGGTCCGCGGACCACTGCTGGTCCGTGAGGTCCGAAAGGTTGGTGACCACTGCCCTAGAGAGTCTGGGTGGACAGCGACATGTAGGTGCCAAAAGGTCAAAGATCAGAGGCCAAAGTGACCTCTGTCAACCCACCCTCATCAGCAAAGTGTCACCTGACCTCAGTCACCTTTCACCTTTCCTTGTCCTTCATCCTCATAAGCTGCTTATATCCCAAATCTCCATCTCTCCTCCCTTCCCTCTGTGAGGAGCCATAGAGGGTTTTAGAAGGGGAGTGACATCAGCTTTGTGTTTCAGAAAGAGCATTTTAACAGTCCAAACAGAGGATGGATTGTGAGGGACAGGAGTAGGGCAGAGGCGCAAGTGGCAGAAGAGACCAATTAGGAGGCTGATGCTGTTCTCCAGGCAAGAGATGATGAGGCCTAAATTAAGACAGTGGCAATGAGGGGAAGAGGAGATGGAAATGAGGGGTGTTGAGGAGCACCAGTGAGCCTGACTAGATGTGGGGGGTGAGGGGGCAGGGAAGAGTGGAGGATGACGGGAGCCTGCTGGCTGAGGACCTGGGGGATGGTGCTGCCGCTCACTGAGCCACAGAGTCCCAGAGAAACAGGTGGGGGAAGGTGAAAGCTCAGGGTTGTGCATGGTGAGTTTGGCAGAGGACTGTCGAACAGGTGGTTGGATGTTTGGTTCTGCAACTCCATGGAGAGATCTGGGCTGGAGACAAATGTGTGGGAGTCGTGGGCAGCAGCTGAATCCACAGGAGTGAATGAAAGTACCCAGAGGGGAAAAGAAAGGTGGGGAGGAATTGCTGACATTTAAAAGGGGGCTGCAAAGAAGGGAAGAGGAGCCTGTGAAGTCACCTGAGAAGGAGTGGGCAGAGGGGTAGGAGGGAAGTCAGGAGAATGACATGTCGTGGAAACAGGAGACATTTCAAGAATAAAAAGAGTTGATAATGTCAAATGTCAAGTGCATTCAGAGGTTAGTAATTCAAGCTCGGGAGTTAAACAGATCTATGTTCAAATTCTGGGCCCGTGACTTGCTAGCTAGGTGACCTTGAGAAAAATGGTCAATCTCTAGGCCTCAGTTTCCTCATCTGTGAATTGGTAATGATAATTATGCCTACATCGCAGGGTTGGTGGGAAGGATAAATGAGCCGTATAGAATGCCAGCACATAGTAAATGCTCAATATGTGTTAACTATTATTATTATAAGCATTGGAAGATACCTTTCAAGGAAGGCTGGCAAGAGACCACTGTCAGGACATTTAAATCCCTTTTTAGATTTTGGTGGATTCCTCTCCAGACTGTAGTAAAGGAGAGGATGAAAAGAAGTGAAGAAGTGGGGTCTATGGTCTAAAAACCTGGATATGAAGGGAAGTTAGGCGATGGAAGGGGGAATAATGTTGATGAAAAATGTGTGGTTGTTTTTGTGTGTGTTTTTTTGGATGAGAGACTTGACATGTTTTCAGGACCAGTGAAAAAGCCTGTAAAGATAGTCTTTAAATGTGAGGAGAGGGGGTACAGACAGTTCGGGGATGGAGGGGATCCTAGGGAGACCGGCTTAAGCCCACTAGAGGTATCAGCCCGGGATGGGTGGTCCTGACGTCTCATGAGCCAAGGAAGGGATGAGGGTGGCTGGGGATCTACATGAGTGGGCTGACAGAAAAGTGAGGGAGTCCACGCTGGTTGGCTTACACTGTAAAGAATGAGTGTAAATGAAGGTGTGGGGGAGACAACTGGGGCAGGGAGGGAAGATTTAAAACACCTATGATAAAAAAAAAAAAACAGGTTAAATTGGGGTGGGACTGGAGGTCTGAGGGGTCAGGGTTCAGGGGAGGGACACAGACTCTGGGATGAAGCTTGGTTAAGGGTCAAAGACCAGGGGTGGGATGGGACCCCATGAAGGAACCCACGCAGAGACAGGGTTGAGGGAGAGCTGGAGACTGGTGAGAGGAACAGGGTCTCAATAAAAGGGCTGGGAATCCATCAAAGACACCCACTCTGATGGGGTCAGCTTCTCATTTTTGTGTCAGGGGAACACCACGCTGTCTGGAGGGTCCCTGCATCCCCTTGTCCTCCCCCAAATGGGTTCAGACCTCCTAGTCATAAGATGCCCTAGAAGCTCAGGCCCTGACGGATCATTCCCCTTCTCCATACTCTACAGAGAGGAGCCACAGGCAGGCAGAGAGAGGCAGGCTAGCAGATGGGAAAGCCAGGGCGCGCTCTGTCACACTGCAGGGCTCCCACGCCGTAGCCGCCGCTGCTGCAGGACACTGTGAGGTGCATATTAACAAGGAAGCCCCCAGGGAGGTCAGGGCAGCCCTGGAGTAGCAGCAGGGAGCAGCGGAGTGGTGGCGAGGCTCCAGAAATGACGAGGGCTCGGTGATGGGAGAAGGGTCAGTACTCCCTCCTTGGCCATTTTTCTTGAACCCTTCAACTGCAGCTTAGAGAACCTCTCTACCCAGGGAGGGGGCAATCCAAGGCAAACCCAGAAGTCCTGAATCCTAGCAGTCTCCAACCTCCCTTCTGCCTCCCACCACTTCTGGCTTCCACTGTGACCCATTTGTTCCCTTGAGCTTTCATGAGCTCTCCACCCAGGAGAGTCCCTAACGTGTGAACAACTTAACAGTAAGACCAGTGACACCCAAGAGACACATGCAAGCTCAATTCCCATCCCTCTGAGCGTGCTGTGTTTTCTTCCTGAAATACCCTCAATCCACTTCTGCACTGAGATTCAGCTGAGAGGACATTCTTCCCAGAACTGCTTGGCCACCATCATCCCGGGGCAGGTGAGATGCCTCCTCTGTGCTCTCTCCCATCCCAGCCTTCTTTCACTGTACGCTCTCTGCTGCCTTATCTGTCCCACCTCTAAACAGCTCCTCGCAAGCAGCATCTGTGTTTTCATCTTTGTATCCACAGGAAATGCTCACTGAATGAATGGCTGTGGATTAACTATATGGAATGTGGGCTTGGAGGTAACCCTAAATCTCCTGGACTTCAGAATTTGTATTGACTTTTCCTCCTAAAGCTATGGGAAGGCTCAAGAAAAGAGTTCAGGGGGTATGTGAGGGGTGTCTGAGTTAGAAAAGAGGAAGTTGGTGGTGAGATGAGCCCTGACCCCATGGAGAGTGGACAGTGTGGGATGGATGAAGGCTCCATAAGAAGAAGGGGTCAGAGCTTTTAGTCTCATCTGCAGAGACCATGGACAATGGTGAGACCGGATGGGGACAGCAAGCCAGCTATTAGCTACACTATCCAATCCCAGGAAGCCCTGTCCTGGCTCAGACTCCAGTGTGTCCCCCAGCCTAAGAAAACCCAGGGGACAGGCTCCCAGGGCTCTTCCACAGCCTCATGGGTATCCTACCACAGGCACCCCAGAATGACAGACTCCACAGAGGAACATTCTAGAACTGACCTTCATATTCAAACAATACCTGGACCATCCAGATTTGAGAGAAGGCCTGGGGCAGGAGAGCTACTTTCCAACTGCTGACCTCCAATCTTAAGGGAAGTTTCAGCCAGGGAGCACCATGCTATCCTGTCCACGGCCTACCTCAACCTCATTCTGCCTCCAACCTCACAAGACATGCCAGCACAGCTTGTCCAAAACAGCAAGTCAAGGGGAAGCCCTCCTGGCACTGCCACACATCGCCAAAATCAAAGGGCCCCTTCATTGCACAAATGGGGAAACCGAGGTCCCAAAAGTGGCTCAGGGTCTTACAGAATGAAGCAGGGCAGAACCTCCCTGCATCTAGACCCTCTATCATGGCAACAGCTGGCTCCCATCCAACCCTTTCCAGAGCTTACTGGGTGACAACACTATGAGGGCATCTGTTCCCCACCCCCACCAAGCCTCACCTGCAGATAATGATAAGTCCTGGTTTTGGCCTTGGCCTCTGGACCCAGGAGCCCCTTGCCTGGCCCGGCCCCTGGATATCCATCCCGGCCCTGGCTCACCATCATGGTATGCCAGGCATTTCGCTTAACCGATTGTCCATCCAGTGACATGGACATGCCGGTGCAGGCCAGACAGCGGCCTTCCGACCCGCCTGAGCGCCCCTTGAAGCTCAAGTCCCGGTAGGACCCATCTGGAGCCTCCAAGCAGAAGGGACCACCTGGCTCCCCAGGAGGCCGCCCCCCCGCTAGGAAGCCACTATCACTGTCCAAGTTGTCGTCGGAGCTCCACCAGCCCCCGGCCTTGGCCTGGTGCCGCCCATCGCCCTTGCGGTCCTTGCTCTTGCTCCTCTTGCCGTGCCGGGACTGGTGGTGGTGGTGGTGGTGATGGTGGTGGTGGTGGTGGGAGGTGTGGGGGCCTCCGGAGCCTGGGCCAGGGTAGCTGTCTCCCCCAGAGCCACCTCTTCCGTCAGCCTTGGGCCCATTGTAGTCCCGCTTCCCCGGGGCCTCCAGAGAGTGGGACTTGGCAAAGAGCTTCTGCACGGAGTGAACAAGGTGCCGGATGCGGCTGGGGCTCTCACTGCGGGCCTCCGGGGCAGAGCCGGACCCCGGCCCAGGCCCGGGCCCGGCCCCTGCTGGACCTCGCTGGTAAGGTAGCGTGTGGAAGCCATCTTGCTGAACTGGCAACTGCTTTTCAAACTGGTCCAGGAGTGTAGGAGGCAGGCGGGGGGCACCCTTGCCCTGTGGGTGGCCCACACAGTCTTCACAGGTGTCGAAGGGGCCCTGGCCGGGGTACATCCTGGGGAAGGTGCTGCTACCCCCCCCAATTCCGGTCCCCCCTGGCCCTCCCTCAGGGCCTACCAATGGCCCCTCACTCAGGCTCAGGGGCCCTTCCGGAGAAAGGTGTCCCAGGCCAGCTCTTGGGGCACAGAAGCGGGGCTCGGTGGAGAAGGCCTCCCCGGAGCCCAGCAGGTACGGGGCCCTGGCAGCTGGGCCCACGTCCATATGCTGCTGGTCAGCAAAGCGGGTTGGGCGGGGATGGCTGCCTCGGTCGCCATGGTAACCCCTCATGGCCTCAGCAAGGGCTCTTCATAGTGTTGGGGGCCAGGCCCCAAGAACCTCCTAGGAGACAGGGAGAAAAGGGATTCAGACTGAACAATAGGCCACTTCACCTAAAATTATCTTTTATTAGGATTCTGGTATCCCTTTAGGTAATGCATATCAATTTATGGAGATTAATTATACTATCTTTCCACAAATGGACTTAAAGTCCTTAAAAGAATCAAGCTAGACAAAGACACTCACAAGGGCACAAAATAATACTGTCATTCATCAAATGCTGCAAATCTGATAAATATTTATTCACAAAAGGAAATGCCTGCAGCCAAATGGCTGTATTTTTAAAAAAAAATATCCCAGGGTTACCAGAAATAAAAGGATACCCAAACAGATGTACAAAACATTCAAAGAAACCAGTCATTAAGTGAACTGGCTTTTAACAAGCTGACTTTAGGCAAATTGATCCAGGGACACACCCTCTGACCCATCCCTACCCACTTCCACTGCTGTGAAGAGCCAGGTTCCAGGGTCGCAACTCCCAGCAGCAATAACCAAAGAGAATATACAGACCCAAATCTAAATATCTAGCTTGATTATGCAGGAAAACCCCTCCCCTTCCTTTCACACCCAGTTCCTTCCATCTGGCTGCAGGCTCATTCTCCCTCTCCCCAAGACTGAGGTAAGAAGGAATAACCTAAGAAGACTCCTTTCCTCTTCCAGATTTCAAATATTCCCCCCTGGAATTTCCCCTTTGGCCTGTTACCCCTACCTGCCACCCCCATTCCACTAAATGGGAATCGTGAGGGGGGAAGAGACCATAAATGGGAGGAACGCTGGCTGTACAAGGCAGCATCTGAATCCTAAACTGGGATTGGAACCCAGGAGTTCCGCCTCCCAGGAACAGCAGGCTCACAGGGCAGGGAGTGATGGAGAGAAAATGTTGAAAGCAGTGCCCCTGGCCCCCTTCCCAGGCTTGCCACGGCTACAGGACAGAGAGGTCAGCTCTCAGCAAGAACTGCCTCCAATCAGGACTCCAGAGCTGCCAGGACAGGAGCTATGGCAGGAGGGGGTGACAGCAGGAGGAACAGGGACTGAGATGCTGGCAGACGGCGCCCTCCCTCATCCCAGACCAGGCTCCTGGGCCATCTGCTGACCAGGAGGGGATGACAGCATCAAAGACTCCAGACAACAGCCCCTTCAAGACTCATCCTCCCTTGCTCCCCACCCACCACCTCCTAATATCCATCGTGTTTCAACCTTCCTCCAGATCCTACTCACAGCTCATCTCCTACTATTTCCCAAGCACTTGCTATGTACCAGGTGCTGTGCATAATATTCTCTATTCCCACTGAAATCCTATGTGTCGATATTATCCACATCTACCTGTGAGAAGACCGAGCTCAAAAGGTAAGTCACAAAGCCAGTGAGTGGGTGAGTCACTTTAAATCAAGATTCAAACTCAAGTTAATTCTGGTTTGAGAACCTCGATCTAATCCCCATCTCCCCGACTGTCCCACCAGACTCACCATCCTGGGTGTCCCATCCTTGGCGTCAGGATCCTCACCACCAGGCAGAATCCTAACTTCAGAAGGCTCAGGACCACTGGCTCCTGATGAAAAAGAAAAGGATGGTGAAGAGAGCAAAGGACAGAGTCTCCCAGAGTCCTCAGAGAACCAGCCTCTGGCTTTGCCCATCTCCGTTCCCAACCCCCCAAACCAGGACTGATTGTATCTCCCATGATGCAGAGCCTTTGGACCCCTAGGGAAATGTGGTTGGCTTCATTATGCAAATACATGGAAATGAGCTTACAGGTTGGACTACCTCCAACTGCAGGTGTCTTAGTGATCTGTCCATGGTGCTGAGCCACTGCATTTTCATTGCCCTCCAATATGATTCCATTCCACTAAATTTTGTTCAGATTCTGAGTAAGAAGTGTATAAAGGTGATGTAAGTGTGATCCCTATCATCGAGGGGCTTATAATCTAACAGGGGAACAACCTCTTACATAACAGGATTATTTTAGGTCGTATTTTCACACAAACTGGTCCTTCTCCTAGAATTTCCTTTCATCCACCTCCCTACCCCAACCCTTCCCCTTTCCCACTTGCTCATATTAAGCCCCACCTTCCCTCAAAGACTTTCTGTACTCTTATTCTGGGTTATGCCTCTCTATTTGGGCTTTTATAACACCCCAGGTTCCCCATGAAAGCAGCTATCATACTGCATAGAAAGTGTCTGCTTCCGTTTCTGTTTCCCCCCAACTAGAATGTGGTCTTCTGCAGGGTAGGAACCAAATGCTATTTATCTCTGGATCTCTAGCACCTAACTCAAGGCTTTGCCCAGAGCAGGTCCTTAATAAATATTCACTGTGTAGATGAATAAATGACTGTGCTGGAAAGAGGTACCAAGATGCTAGAAGAGTTCAGATGAGAGCAAGACCAGATGCAATAGGGGGAAATTGAGGAAGACTTCCCAAGGCAGAGTGTGTTTGAGATGGGAACAAGATGGCCCTCCCAGCTCCAGTCTCAGATCGCTGTGTGTTCCACAGACAAAGGTGGGGCAGGAAGATAGAACTCCCAGTGGTGGAAATAACAGGCACAAAGGCAGAAGAGGGGGCCAAATAAGGAATTCTGAGGGATGGGGTAGGAGGGTTCCAGCAGACATTTAAGGTTTGGCAAATACTTTCAAGAGGTGGGAGAGAGAGAGTCAGAAAGAAAGACGACGCTAAATTTTGCAACAGCCGTGACTGGAAGACTAATGATGCCATTATTAGGCACAGGGATATCAGGGAGAAGAGCTAGCTTTTCGGGCATGATTAATAGTAGTGGAAGAGCCCTGGCTGGTGCTAGTAAGGGGTTAGAGCATCTGCCCAAAGGGTCTCAGGTTTGATTCCCTGGTGAGGTCATGTGTGATCAAT